CAATCCTAGAGGACAGTCGCCTCAATTTCTATTGCTGAATGATAAGACTTAAAGTGATGGAAGAAAGGCATATTGCTGCAGCTGAAGGAATGTGGAAATGCAGTCTACCTCCGGTAACTCCTCCGTTCCCGTGTCCAAGTAACACCTCCTCCACCTCTCTACTAGCTAAGGAGAATCCAGATAGATCCATATATATAAGCACTGTCAAGCGGGAGTAAACGCAAAAACTTGTCCTCACAAAACTGTTTCACATTTTGTCCTTTGTTGAATGACTACTTTTTGGCCAGTGAATACGACAAGATAGACATACAGGATGGCCAGTACATTTTCCTCTACCATTGCATTTTCCAAACCAGACAAAACTCCACATCCAGCAGGATCGTCATTTGCATGCAAATCCGATGACTAGTGGGGATGATTTTTTGGGTGTCTTTCTTAAAGCACTGACGGCGTTGTGTTGGCCGACATGGACGGCTGACCGGAGGGGATGCCGTAAATGGCGCTCAAATGGAGTGAATGGACACGAAATACATGGATTACTTTATCATCTCTTCATTTTGGTTTCTTTGCCACTTAAAACTCCGCTTTTTTACTTTAGCTTGGCAACTTGGCCTCCCCCTCCCCAGACCTTCTGTGCATCGCCGACGCATATTCTGTCCTAGTATTTCCCCCCAGGGAAGTCTCAGGGTGCTACAATCTATTTAGTTACTAAGCTCTAAGTGACTTTATTCAGTTTTTGGACCATTTCAAACTTATCCAAAGAAATTTTTGAACTTCTGTTGAACATAATGCTAGCAAGAGGAGGAAACCTTCATAATGCTTAAGAGCGTTGTAAACTTTTTTCGCCTGTCCCCGAAGCCTTCAGTTGAAAGCTGTAAAGAGATAAGCTGTAGCTTGTAGCGTTTAAGTGTGCTAGTTGACTAGGTTCATCTTATTACGCAACACCTACTACTGTCTAACGGTCAATTCAATGTGAAAAGAGCTGTAAAACTGAAACAATGGATATGATAAACGGAAAAGGACTTTACCTCTCATAGAAGAGATGTTTCTTACAAAGGTTTTCTCCTTGAGAACCAATCTTATCACCGCCAGCGTAAACACTCAATACCTAAGTAAAGTCCTTCCTCAGAGAGTTATGGATTTAGTGGATTACAAAGTCTATAAAAGGTCAGATAGACTCCATTATCCAACCAGCCACCGGCGTAAAGCTGAAGAGTTGTGGGGGAACTCTGGAACTGCCACACAGGACCAAGACAGTGCCGGAAATTTCTTCTTCTAACTTGTAAAATCTTTATTTCGAAAAGGAGCATAAATTTGAAAAATGATTTTAGAATGTTCTTTTACAGTTAAAATTACGAGTAGCGATGGGAAGAAAAACACAAGGCATGGGAATAGATGAGACGAATTAGAGATGAAGCAACTGCTGGAGATCTGAATTGGAATATTCCGTCTACCCGTGTTTAGAGTTGGTAAGTCCTTTAGTAATAGAGAGATTGGCAGGAAAGACCAGTTGCAGGTAAGATCTTTAAACTACTTACCAAGTGCTGAATTGCCTTCTAAAAAGGGATTATTTACACCGTGAAAGACACTTTGAAGTCATCGTACGTTTCAGGTGACGGAGCAGCTCTTCCCGTCCCCCGCAGAATTTACCAAAAAAGCTACTTTTATGTAGAAAGGACTCCAAAAGACATAAAGTTTACCTACACTTACAATAGGAAAAGATTTATTAAAACAGGTATTTATTTTGACCATTTGACATAAGTAAGTAGCCTTGATTTATCTACCAGACGTATTTCATCAGGACCTATTAACCCCCACATAATCCATCAATTAATTCCATTACAGACGATGAATCCGTAGTTCCACTGACTGCTTGACAGCATTTTGGGTGATTTTAATTAATTGGATCTATTTTGGAGGAAAGAAGATTAACTTTCAATCTTATCCACTCTGGTCCTCCTAGAGCCCTCTCCGAATAGGCTTGCAGAGAAAAGGAATTTTGAGGGAAGAACTAATGGGCTGCTAAGAAAAAAAATAAAATCTTAACTGCATAACTAAAAAAAACTGAGTAGATAAACAAAAGCTTTAAACAAATGCTGCTTTGTTACATTAACTCTCCTTTTAGGCGTTCTTTATGATCTCTCCTATGTCTCGGGTTGGGAAAGGGGAATTACGTGGGTCTTCCGTCAATACTCAGCACCGTCGGAGACTGGTGGGTTTTCTCCATATGCACATCACTTCTTACTTTCTTGACTTTCTGCCTAAATTAAGGTATCGTGTTCGGAATATCTCGATCACTCATTAATTTTCGTCCGGTTGTTATCGCTTCTCCGACGTTCATGTGTGTCGAATTTTGTGTATTTTTTGCTTTTACTGAGTCTGGTCTTACTCGACTTGCTCACAGTCGTAACACGTCACGCAATACTTGGGTGATTGTTAACAATTGACAGTGTTTTAGCAGCCTTTGCCTTCCAAGCTCCCAGTTATCCACAGACATCCACACAGCATTGAAATCACAGATTTGGAATATCTTTTTTTCTTATCAGTTTGCATTACACGTCCTCCGGAAGGCGTCTTAAGATGCACAAGTCTAGATGAAGCCTCATTACTACAGTTATTGCTATGGAGACGCCAGGACTAAGATTGCAGCAACCGAGGAGCTTTAATAGATAAGCTGGGGGCTTAAACATACGCAGAAAAACTGTCGAGTAAGTGAAGAACATTTACCTTATTTTGTTAAGCATGACGCCACATTGCAGTGTCACGTCAACAAAGAGCTTTACATTACCCTTTTATTTGAGGATCATAAATGATGCATCCGCGCCAACTGCAAAAAGGTGGACTTTTAGGCAGTATTCTGGACAAACTCTCTCTCTCACTCTTGCCCTCAAGTTTTCTCTGGCAAAAACTGCAGCAATTCAAAAAAGTTATTTTCCTGACGTAGGAATAAGACTTTTTTCTTCCTCCACCAATACTTCGTATAAGCACCAGAGGCGCAAGTAAAAATGGCAAGGATATAATTGTTAGTAAACATTTTTTAAATTATTGAGGCAAACCAAACTGCTAATTAAAAATAGAATACCAAATCTAAAATTTTGTCCAGGAAGAGGTAGAGTAAACTACGTCTGCCTTTAATATGACCTAAAGGATGACCTCATGTCACCTCAGTGGTGGTCATGACGTTTTGGCTCCCCCCCCCACCGGAGTGACATGCATGTTAAATATGCCTGCTGTTAACCATTGTTTTTTTTGACACAAGGAAAAGAGCTTTTTAAAGAAATAAAACATCATGATTTTCTGCTGAGACTGTGGCATCAAACATAATCGAGTCAGCCTTTGGCATTGTGGTTGCATTAGTTAATGACCCTCTCAGCGGTAATCAAGTTGGATGCCCTAAAAAGAAAGCACTCAGGGTAGCGTGGTAGCTCCTTAGGGCTTCCGCAAAGATGATTAGAAACTCGGGCAGAATATGTACCCCCGATCTTGAGAAGAGCTACAGGGCTAATGGCATGGGACAGAGGTCATGCCGCCCAGTGTAGTTGTAGTCGCAAAGCCTTTAATACCCTCGGGATCAAAGCAAACATATAAACAAGGCATTTCAGCGTATCCGTTGAATTTCAGTCACCTACATCTGCCGTGTGAAGAGAAGCATACAAGACTCCTTGAAGCCAGCTCCCCTATTCAAGACTGGACAATCGTTCCCAAAGTCACCATGTGGACTTGAGGACAACATAGGAATAAAATAAAGCGGCAAAATAGTTGCTTGTCCACGATGTGCTCGAAAGAGGCCACAAGGGTTGCCACGACGGTGTTTAAGGGGTATTTTGCACAGGAAAAACATTTTCACAACAATGTGGTGATAAGGAAGCCTTCTCAGATTAACCTTGGTTTGGTTGCTCCTTTTCAAATTGAGCTCTATCTGCAAAGTTGACCGCTAAAATATAGCATATATCCTATTTTTTACATAAGATTTCTTTTATTTTTTAGGGTGAAAGTATTATTTTTAAATAGAATCACCTACTAATTTAGAATGAATGTTTATTTGCGTGTAATTTTAGGCAGAGCATTTTAATGATGCCCTTTCTAATCTGGTTGTTATGGCACATTATTCTCCAAAATTCTGCTTAATTAATAAAAAATCAACTACATTATTGATTGAATAATTTTTAGGAAAATAAAGCAAACAAGTGGGTCAACAATGCTTAAACATGACACAACATGCTGACAAAAGTACTACTTGAAGGGGTCGCTTACTACTGAGATCAATTCAGTACCCCCCAAGGGTAAACATTTCCCCAAATGTTGCTAAAATAGTAAAATCGTAGCATATTCCTCAGCAAATAAACTGGCTTTCTAAAAAAGTTTCATTGGAAAGCTTTAAAAATTATCAAATGCACGAAATTGCCAAAACCATTCATTCAGCAATAACTATAAAGAATTACATGGCTGGTCCTTAAAGCCACATCATCAAAAGGTTTTGAATTTAAAAATGCTACACTTAATAAAAATAATGGATGATAAAGGTGGAAATTCCAGTGAAACATTGACCATCGTAATAAACGCGGGACAGAAGTACAATTAGTATATTAACTCCATCTGGAAAGCAAACAACCGACCTATTCACATTCTTATAAAATTACCACAAAATTTATTTTTTGCAGCTTTTATGGGAAAAAATGAAAGTATAATTTCGCAAATGTGGCAAGCAGGTCATTCACCACGGGGCTGTAAGTTCCGAGAGAAAGGAAAGTTGCAAAGTTGATGAAATTTTAAAGCCAACTAAGGCCTTATCCAAAGTGGAGCTGCCTCCAAATATATGGATAAAGCAGTGGTTTTAAAACAGTAAGAGACTGATTCCAAATGTGATATCTTAAAAGTTTGCACGGTACTCATAACAAATACTTGCCTGCTCTAGGCACCAAACAAATCTGACGTGGATGACAGAAGATTTCCACGTTTTGCAGGTCAAATTTACGGGTTGATCAGTGAGTGAGTTGATCATGCATCATCCAATCCAAATCCAAAGAAGCTTATTATTGCTCTTTAACAGTGTTTTTATCTTGCACCCAAAAACTGTACTTATTTTTAAGAGTTATTTCTTAGAAATAATAAGTGTAATCGTGTTCCTAAATGCTGAACAACGTCAACTACATCGTCATAGATACCTCATTGGTACGGCACACTGATTGGTCAGTGTAGGCGCTTAAAAGCCTAGACTCGCATCATACACCTGTACAAAAGACCGCAGTCAAAATAATGCGCGGTACTTTCATTTCCCTTCTAACACTCTTCTACTTCGCCAGCAGCCTTCGGCTCCATGACTACGATGGAGAGGCGGAACCCGCGGTCTCGGCTGCGACGCCAGTCGGAGAGGCTGAGGATGATATCGATTCCCTTCCTCCGCGATACAGGGTAGCCAAGCGCTACCCTCTCCTCAGTGATCTTGATGAAGAGATGATGATAGAGAATCCCTATTGGGCGAAAGAAATCTCTCGTCGCTCCCCACAGTTTGCGTGGAGACCGCACTCGAGGTTTGGACGACGATAAATAGGCAAAACTCGTTTGTCTGTTTTGCTGCATCTCTCGATCTCCCTCTTTTCCTCGCTCTCTCCCTCTCTTGCGCCTCTCTTCATGTCACACTTTTTCCCACCCAAAGGCCCATGCCTCACTTTCCGGTAAATTTGATATTATAAATAAAGCCAAAAAACATTAAATCTCGTCTCCACAGGCCGTGGATGCCTACTTTTGAATGCAATTAAAGCCAAAAAATTGTCTATTTGACAGATTCGTAGTCTCATAAACATCCCATTTTAGGCGCCACGAGTAATTATATTAGTCAAATGAAAAACATGTTAAACAACAACTTCTTACAATGGTACAAAGTCAATCCTGGGGATAAAAAGCAGTCCGAAGAGTTTTATTGATAGTCAGTCTGCCTTATAAAGGAATGAGTACGTGAAAAAACTTGTTTTCCTACACCAGACTGCTCTGTTGGCATTCAAAATAAAGCAAGTCTTACAAAATTGAAGTGGAGGAGAGAGGCTTCAAGTAACTAAATCTTCTCTCACCAAACCAACCAAATCACAGCTTCCTCTATTCCATTTTGTATTCTCTATCAACCCTTGCGCAAAAACGTGCTTACATATCTAGACGTCTTGATTGTTTCTGCTCTAGAACATAAAGATACTCTAAAATATGACTTTTAATGTGAGGGTAGTGAGGGAGACTAAGTTTTTATTAGGTCCAGTTAACACCCTCCACCATCAGTAGACAGCACAGAAAGGTTGATTGTGCCTTTCATAATCTACAAAATCACAGATTAAAGGCATAGTTTTTCTTATTTTTATAAAAAAATTTAGTGTAAGCATTCACCTTATAGTGTCGTTAGAATTACCTTCAAAACAAAAACGTTCACCATGACGTGGAAATTGGAAAAATACTGAAATCAAGTCTATTTACTTGCATTTAAATAAGAAAGCGCATCTTTAGGGCAAAGACTAATGGGTTGCTGGCTTGCTAAAAAAACTTTTTCGTTTCTTGATTTATATATTTTAAAATTTGGAACAAATTTCTTTTTGGTTCGAAATGGAAATGAAAAAACGGTCCAAATTTTGTTCTTCTCCTCTACCTTTTGAGCACGCTCTGCTTGAGTTCACTATTTGCCCATTTTTTCAACAGCCACTGACTAGATAGTATGTTTCTTTGCAATATGAGGGAGTTTCATATCTCAAGGCATATACTACTTATGATGCATCAGTAGATCGGTTGTCGTTTAGTGAAGCATTCCCCAACAATGCAGGGTAAGGTCGTGGATTTACTTGATAGATACGACATCTGAATGAACCTACCTCAGAAAAAAGCTACCCTTGTCTGGGCATTAGCTACAGTTCTCTATTTTTGTCTTGAAAATGCTCAATGGAGCAATGAAGAATCAATTTAGTTGAGATGAGACCTCTCATTTGCATACATTTTTCAAGCGTTTTAATAGAGACGAAATCAATTTTTCTTGGTTTAAAGTTAAAAATCATCGGCGCAAAACTTTACAGCTTCCACTCTTAAATAACCAAAGCCATTATCTTGCTGGTCCACTTTGCTTACCCTCCATCTTTAACTTTGTTTTCTTTGCATCCACGTTTGTAAGCAATCATTCCAGGGGAGCCTATTTCTGGTTACACGACCAATAAACACTCCATTTATAGAATAGCAAATAATTTTGCTGGAAACTGGAATTTATGCGGGTGAGCGTGGTTACTGTCGACCTCCAGCTGGAGTAATCAAGACATTGGCACAGACGTCTTTATTACCGATGTAGGTGGGTAAACAAAGGGATGAGAAGTATGGATACGCACAAGCTAGCTGGCCAGTTAAGACTGCTGGAAGACAAGAGGTGGCTTTAGTCTCATATACTTATTCTACTGATTAACCTTGGCCTTTTACCTGGTAGTAGGGTACTTAAGGGGCATCTACAGGTGATGTCAGCCAATCATGAGGAAGTTAGTGAGTTCACTACCACCTGGAATGTTCGAGAGTTATTTGCGGAAGCAAACACTTTTAGATTATTAAATAGAAGCATATTCCAAGGCTATAGACATCCTCAGCCGGTTGGGACAGAATTTTTCTTCTATTAGGCAGACCGAGGCGTATGAAAACATCCAAGATGTGAGATGGGTAGAAAACAATCCTAATGTCTGCTCTCAAGTAAAAAAATTTTAAGTAAGTGAAAATCTACTTTGTTTGACACTACTTAAAGAATTTTGCAGTTTATAGCATTGAAACAGATTCTGACGAATATAATGCTAAAATATTTTGAGTAGGCTTCTCTTGATTTCCCAGAACATGCGTGTGGGTCGATTAGCCCACAATTATGTGTGAGACCATAACAGGTAATGAAAATGGCGCGGCGAAAAACTGATTTAAGTGGTCATTGTGACGCCGCCTTTATCAAATCAGAAGCATGATAAAAATACCTGCTCATGCGAAATAAGTAGCAACTTTCTTTTCACTTTGATGTCGCGTGGGCGACCAGGGAGGGTAGGGGGGACGGAGGAATCGATTCGGCTTAAGTGGGAAAAAAGTGATCCTGACAGTTTGCACTGCATTTCGTCAGCAGTGCGACCCTGGAATTGCCCACCACCTCTCCAGTGGATATGACATCTGTTGCCGTGGCCACGTAGATCGTGGGCGGGCTGGAAGGGGGCTCCCAAAGGCGGGTCAATAGTGGTGTGGTGGGTGTGCTCGTGGCGGTTACACATTTGTACAGTGCTCCATTCTCGCACGTAATCACACGACAGGGACTGCGTAGGAGGCTGTGGGAAGATACATAGAATCAATAAGTAAGATAAATCGCTTTCTTGAGAGCTGTTGACAGTCAACACCTCTAAAAGCCAAAATATGTGGCAGACTTTGATGAACTAGATAAAGCAAAAACTAAGATAACTTCTTGAACAGATTTTTCAGGCATGGATTGAGGAGGACTAAAATGTGATTACGCACTTCTGTCAAATCTCACCTAAGCATAATTGGAATTTGAAAAATCCAACCTTTTTTTCAAGTAGTGAATGAATCGTGCAATCTTTGCCTGTGTGGCTCCATGGAAAAGGACTCTACGTTATCTACCTTTTTTGGGGACTTATTTTCTCCTCACTTTGGCAAAAGGCGATAAAGGGTTCCACTCAGGTTTGGTTATCTTCTGCAAATTTTTCCCAGTTCTATACAATTCGTTTGTGGTAGAGCAATTAGACACACTCGGCTGGACCTGCATTAGTTATCAGACAGATGCATCTGGAAAAAAAGCAACGCATTGTGATGCGAAAATGACCAAATCAACTCTACTGGGCAGTACGATATTTTGAAGTGTTTTGCCTTTTTGGGTAAGTTTGTGGAGATATTAGCCGCTGGACCGGAAACTTAATTTGTCTTGACAACTTTGTTGCAAAATTTGCAAAAAGATAATTAAAAACAGCGATTTTTGTACACTTCCTTGCTGGATGTGGGAAAAGGTAAGTGGAGAAGTAAAGTGTACAATGAAGACAGTTTAGAAGTGGGGTGATTAATCAAGCCTTACTTGTAGTGATTAGTGATGAAGCTCGACAAGAACAAGTAAATTAATGTCACGTTAATTCGAACTCCAAACAGGAGGTTGTAATTTAATATCCATCTTCTCTTCTTTGAGAAAGTAATTTCTTGTCCCGAATAGTTTTAACAAATAAGAATTATGGCAGGTGTTGACAGAAATATAGTAAACGTCTATTTAGTACTAGCATACCCTTTCGAAGTAAATTTGACGACTGTAGCTCAATCTTAATTGCCAACTACTGAAAAGCGTCATTTAAGTAGCATGTTATTTTCAGGCATAGGCGTCTTAAATATCATATTCTACTCCTCCCTCTTTGTTTGATAGAAGAAAAGGAAGAAAAAGGGCCTTATAATTGGCTTGTATTTGTATAATTTATCGAAATTTGTTCCATATATCCATTTACTGCCTAAATAACGAGGACCTTCCTCCGTTTACTCCAAGTTGATTGGGCAGCACGTTGTGCCCTACGTGCTTTCTATCAATAAAACATTTATGCTGCCTTTGTGATTCCGAGCCACATATTTGCTTTAGAGTAGATGAGGAAATTATTAACAACAAGAAGGATAGAAACATCGGGCAATTTTTCATATTATAAGCGGAGAAATAGAAGAAAATCCAAGCAGACGGTTGGATAGCAAATAGATAGGGAAGACGAAAAAAGACCAACTATTAGCAAAGCAAAAAATGTGCATTTAGACATCGCTGGGGCTGTGAAACTTCTTTGCCTACAACTTTCCTTTGCAGCTTTCAGTATAACTAGTTTAATTTGGTGCAGCATTTCATTCATCACTTCAAGCGTTGTGAGACACCACCATCTAGAATCACTTTTGCCTGGACACCAAATAAGTTATGAAAAAGTGAGTATGATCACTTTTGACCAAAAAAATTATAACTAGAGAAGTTGGGAGAAAAGACCTAGGGCTACCGCGTCCCCACCATCTCAGACTGCTCTACGAAGGTGTTTAAGGGTCCGGGAACTTATAATGCACACATTTCCGAGGTTCAGACAGTTTCAACAAGTGGTCATAAAAGGAGACGTCAAAAATCGTACCACCTTTCCTGGTTGGCCCTTCAAATAATAGACAGGATCACGGGTCATTGCTTTTGGAGGAAGGTGGAACACCTTACCTTGAATAGGCTTGTAACGGAGTAGTTTGAGAGACGCAAACTGAACCTCGTTGGATCTAAAAGTTGTGAAAATGATGTCAAAAAACAGACCGGTATCAAATTAACCATAAAAAGGCAGGAAAACTAATTCATTTACCATAACTCACCTCGGAGCATTCCTCTTTAAGTGACTGTCTACCAAGCGTTGAGGTTTGCCCTAAAACAGAAGATGCTTTAAAAGAGTGTGTTTCACTCAGAAGGCAAACTGGACCCCAGGTCCAAGCTCAGCTCAAATTTTGCATTTCGTGGTCGACTTTTCAACTTTGGGGGATAGGAAGGATTCGAGAAAAGTGCATCACCTTTCTTTTCCATCGACGGTCAGGGGATTGACCTAAAAACACTCCGGCGCCTTTAGGTTTTCGAGCTATCACTCATGACAAGGAGTTGCGTTGATGAATTCTCCGTCCGCCTGAATTTTATTTAGGCTTTGATAAAGAACAAAATCTTTTCATAAAAAGAGGTTCATTTATTTACTATTTTAGTATATTCTTGCACCTTGCGTGCTTACAACTTTTTTATGGTGGAATTATTGTAAAACATCATAAAATACACCCAATCGTTGCGAAGAAGGTAAAACAGCAGCAGACCTGGTCCAAAAAATACCCCTACAGAGGAAGGTCGCCTTCATTCCTCCACCTTGAATACCAGATAGGTGGAAGTAGAATTTCAACCCCCGAGGTAGGTTCGTCAATCCATACTTTTTTAATGTTGAACTCCTTGACAGAAAGTGTTTCCTCGTGTGTGTCAGATGTCTAAGCTAACAAGAAGACTGTATTCCCGTCGGGCTTTCACTCAAAAGCAGAAGTCCAGGGATAAATTTTCTGCTCCTCAGGAATAAAAAATCTGCTAATCAACATCTTACGGAGGAAGTTTGCTTTGATCCTTTTGCCCTTGTCTACATTTGGGCATGTAAAGATGTGTATTGGAGGCCATCTAATAGTGGAACACCTGGCATTAAAGTACGAAAGAGAAACTCTGACTAGAGATACGTGCGTTATTGAACGTCATCTTTCAATAAAACTCCACCCAGTAGATGCAATAGCAAACGTGCTGGAGAAAAATTGGTTTTTAGTGTGTCAGATGTCTAAACCACCAAGTCGTCGGGGCAGTTGGAGTGGGCTCTCACCCTCACCGAGCTTCCATCCAATAGCATAAGTCAGAGGACACAGCTACACTCCTCCGGAATAAATAATCTATTAAGCAACTCTGTGTGGAAACCACCTCCCTGAGAATAAAGCTTCCTTTGATCATTTCATTGTAAATACCAAATAAGTAGAAGTAGATTGCCAAACTTCTTGATTCGAAGTAGGTGTGCCGAACCCGTTCCTCAACGTGCCCATATACAGATGTTGTTTCGTGGGCCATCTTTGGCTGGAACTCCTCTCTGCAGATGTGAAATTAAAGTCTTGACAGAAAGTTTGCTCTTGTCTCTGTGTTTGCCCCAGTTATCAAATCATCAAGTCATTCACAGGGGACTGTATCCTTCACAGCGCTCCCATCCAATGACGGAATTCCCTGGTTCAAGCTGGTGCTCTGTCTGATGACCAAATTCGTGTAGATAAAGATCATTTTCAACCTCAAACACAAAACTGGTGAAATAGGAGTACGCTGTCGTGTCTTTTTGAAGGCGATCTTTCACCGGAACTCTGCGTATGTCTCAAGTGTCTAAATTAACTAATCACCACGCTAACTAAAGTGGATTGTGCCCTTCACCGAGCTTCCACCCCATGGCAGAGGTTTATGAACAGAAACTACTGTCTTGCCACAAATAAGCTTTTATTAATTAACTTTTACAGGATCCAAACAAAACTTTTACCAATTTATAAGCTTTTGGCATTATTTACCCATATTTAGTCTCTCTTTACTTTGCCAGTCCTGTTTTTAAGTAAAAAAACAATTATTACTGATGAAGGAAGATCGACTAGAAAAGGAAAGATAATGCCACCTAATCAGGGACTTAGGAACTTCTTCTTTTTTAGCGAAATTGCCTCTTAACTGCCTCTCTTATGGTCCATACAACTTCTTCATCACTTACAAGTTAACTGTGAGTCTAGCCTTTCAACACGTCGCAAACTCTGGTTTTGGCTCAGTTCAGTCGCATCGGTGGTGCGTTTTTAAGATAACATCAATTCACAGGGCTAACACCTCAAAATGACTGACTTCACCAAGTACTTTGATGTCCTGAGCCATCTATTTTGAAAAAAAAAAACTAATGTTCCACAATAGATAAAAGGGAGTGCTTAGGATTAGTTCAAACAAAAATGCACGAGCTATATCCATTTTTTGCTTACTGCAAAGCATATCGACTGATTGTCTTGCAGCTTGATTGGCGGTGATGATCCGCGCCGTTTCACCACCTCGTAGCTGCAAAAGTCGGTGCCGAAGGGTCCACAAAATCATCGCCGCAAAAAGTAACACCACAACTATGCTCACTCCCACTCCAATGACAAGGGTGTAAGATAGTTCATCTGTAAAAAAATAGCAAAGTTAATCGCTATCCATGCTTGGGGAAGTAATACTACTCATTCTCCTTTTAAGTAGGTGCATGTTTAATAATTAGTAGTAGAATTGATTAGCAGGAAAATGGGTCCTAGTTTGACGGTAAGGCGAAAATCCAAATTATGACTTATAATGTTGCATGTTACACGTGAATTCTGCCATATTATTCTCCTTGCACCC